AATAAATGTTAATTATTCGTCAGCTTTCAATTTTGATCATTGTTTGTAAAAAATAGTTTTTACTTGGATTGTTCTTATAAATCTTTTTATTAACGGAAGACGAATCAAAGTATCAACTGTGAAGCTAATTATTCTAATAAAAATTATAAACTTAAAAGGAGGTGCTCGAAACGGTTGTACCGGTACCAAATTTTATTTAAAAATGTTAACGTGTTTCGAAAATATTTACAAAAAATCGATCTTCAAATTTTACAGACTGCATGTTAAAATCTAAGACGTTTTGGACCCTAGTTTATATGAACTTATAACAAGTAAAGTATAATCAAACAACAAGAGCACCCCCCATTTATATGAATGAGCGAGAGAAAGACCACTTTGTATATCCAGACATTTTTTCTAAAGTAAAATTTGCTGCACTTACTAAAACCAGTTAACAATTCTTGTATCGAGACAAGAATAATTCACCAACCGATTCTTTTGTATGTCCCATATTTCCCTAAATGTATATATTACTGACGCTTAAACTGTCTTTCAATTTAGGTGTTCATTTTCATTCGGAAGTCAGTCGCGAGTCATATGCAAATACGAAGGAGATATGACAGCGATATTTTGCCAGTGAAAGTCGACGCGACATATTGCGTTTCTCTTTCGCCTTTTAGTGTTTCCAAAAATGCAAATGCCTTAATGACGAGCAGAACCCGTAAAGTTGCCACGCGTCTGTTCCAATTATTATATTATAGTATATATTTTTATTATGCTGCATCAAAGTCATACACGAAGAATATCGTGTAGATGTGCATAACGATGATTATTGTTAAAAAAACAAACATTTAACATTGACAGGAACAAGTTTTTTTTTCAACCCCAAAATAATAAGCAAAAATGATGAGGAATTTGAAATTACAATGACTAAGAAGTTTAATCACTCAATCATTTGCTAACCACGATTGTTTATTTTTGTTAGTTGCTAAAATAGACGTCGTAACTTTTACAAAAAAAGCAGCTAAAGTAATGCAGTTACAGAGTGCAGATTATAGCTTCGGACCTTTCATCCGTCCGTCCTTGCAACATACTCAAATGATTTATTGCGAATTGCGGGAGCTTTATCTAGGTTCGTCTTCTGCTTAGCCAAAATTTCAATAAAAGCAATTGTCATGCTTTAATTTTAACGCTCGTATATATGTCCTTTCGCGAATACACTGTACTCGGACTATTATTTTCCCTACTTATTTGTCTACTCGCATTTTTTTTTATTTTTGTTTTTTTTAGTTAAAAAAAATCGCTTTATAAAAACTATGGGATTTTGTTTAAAAAAATTAATACACAATATACACAATACACAAATAAATTCATACACAATATAAAATAAATACAACCTATAATGTTGTAGTGTATGGTACAGTTGGAAGCAGTCGCCAATGTGTACGGGTGCAAGTGTCACAAATATTCCTAGTTTCCCGCCTGGTGGTTTGTACTTTACGGTTAGAACATACCGCTCAGTCTTTTTTATTTCCATCATTTTGGCATAAAATATGTAATTTACCATTTGGTCGCTCTTCTCTTCCCGAACAATGTGTCATTGGTTTTTTGTTTTGACCTCGTTGCGAAATTTTATATAATAAATATGTATTGACACTAAACATTTCGAGTCCCCAGAAAAATAACTTTCGCCACTATTTTAAAGATTTCCTCAGGAAAAAGTATGACGGTGAATAAGGGTCTATGCGGTCGACACTTCTATTAAATTTATTGTAATTGACAGCTACATTTGGCTTATTTACAACTTGTAAGTTACCTTCACATACTCTTATGTTGATTGGTTGTGTTCCTGAAATATGCCAATAACATCAAATTACCTGATCTGCATGCAAATGTGTTATCTTCCGCAAATGTTGGTTTTTTGATAGAATCATTTATAAATTTGCAGTTGATTTGAATAGTACCTGTCAAATGAACATTTAGTTTTAACAATTCTTCTGCAAGTGGCAAGTTCGTATAGTATCTATCGGAGTAAAAATGATATCCTCTTCATCCTGGGTTATTGTCTAATAATTTTTGACACACATGTAACAGTATCCTTGTGCTTACAGGTAAATCAGGTCTCACTAAATCTTCCGATGTCAAGCTTCCTTAGTACGGCAAAATTTAATAAATATATCCGGTGTTGGCATCCGCCATTACCTACATAAATTCGTTTCTCCCATTTCGTAAGCTTGTTAGGATTGTAAGTTAAAAAACTAATTTTACTCTTAAATGCAACAACAGATTCGTCTACCGATATCTCTCTTGATGGAACAAAATGTTCTTTGAATTGTTCGTCCAAATAATCTAAATAGTGAGTGACTTTCTGAGTTCGAGCCCTAAGAGAGATGGTTTTCAAGTGGAGCATTCTCTAAATATGCTACTAAAAAAAGGTATTTTGGCGTTAAAATATTGTGACCAAAACTCTTAGATAAGATTATCGTACCCGTATTTAGGATAACCCCAATAAATGTGGTAAACTTTTCTACTGTAGTATATACCCACGTTTTGACAACCTCTTGCTCTTTTACGTCTATCGTAGTTATTTGTTTGTTCCACTATCTTTGTTATTAGCTCATCGGTAAAAAAGAGTTTGAAAAAATCTATGGGTTTTGTACGAGTATCACGAATTTGTGGTCCTACCATTTTATTCCCAGAAGCAAATAGAATCCTGTCTGGTACCTGATCGTGGCATGCCACGTCCTGCTATGGACCAAAATTACCTGGACGTGTTATATTCTCATTTTCTTCACGGCTGCTAGAACTCGATGGTAAAGGTACGGTTCCCTGTCTTTTTGTAACTATAATATCACTACCACTACTAGGCGCGTCAATATGAAATTCATGTTCACTACTTTGCAATTGATTTTCGATTCCATTTTGTAAAAATTTCTTGGGCATTTGAAATATTTTTTTTTTGAAATATACACAGAAAAAGTACACCATACGTTACTCAATCGTGTTAGTTATAAACCTGAGTAATATTCAAAATGCAAAAATGGTGCACATGTGAACTGAAGTGATTGAAATAAATACATTAACAGATATAAAATAAACAGCTTAGGATGGCATGTATGCATCTTTTATTTTTACGTAAACATGTACTCATCGAAGGTTCAAGGAAGCAATTTAGAAATATTAGAAATGAGCTTAGGGGATGACAGACCGGCCAACCTGCTGTAATGATAAGACATGTGCCGGATATACGGCAACATACGAGTGCAAAAGGTGCAAAAGTCAGTAAGGTGTGTGAAGGACAGCTGGTACTAATAAGTTTTATATTTTAAATAGTGTTTGCAGAAAAAAAAATTTATCCGTTATTGCAAACGAAGAAAACTCTGCTGGAAGTAAGAAAAGAAAATTCTCGTTGCTTCGCTCTTTCACGCCCCATATCCCACAGGCAGGATATATTCCGCGCCCAAATGAACCCATATATCCCGCGCAGATCTCTATCTCGGCGCTTTGTGTTTCCTTTTCGTTGTGTGTGTGTGTGTGTGTGTGTGTGAGTGTTAGAAGCCTGGCGATAAAATCAGAATCTAGAAAAGTCGCACAGGAATACCGCCCATCCGTCACACACACATTGGCAGCAATTAATGGAATGCCTAATTTATACGTTTCGGGTTTCTTTTAGTACGGGACTGAATGTCACGTGTACGTAAAAAAATATAAAATATTTAAAATGATTATAGCCAGTTCACAACTGCAAAATTCATGATGTTACCCCGGGAACATTGGAATTTATTCATGGTCATTTTAAAATAAGTAAAAAAAAACATGCATTTTTAGAAAAAATTGTTTTAAAAAGGTGATGCTTTGCCACATTACAAGAGGAGCTAAACCAGATAGAGCCTATCATGAACTTGATTTTTCAGAAAAACTGATTTGTTAAACATAAAACCATTATTAAGACAATTTTTTTTAATCAAATGCAGTGGCGTATCTCAGTTTTTTTCTATAGTTCTTGCTTTCCTCAAAAATGAATATAATTTTTGTATTACATATATCGTTTTGGGCTATGGTCTTAAAAAGGTCTGTATTGATCCCTTTTCAATCGTGTATGGTTGTTGGTATTTATCATAAAAAACGGCTGTGGCTACTTTATTGCCTAGGTTAAATTTTAATACTTTGTATTCGTGTTTCGTATATATTACTTTAAAATAAATCCATTTTTGCAAGTACTTCTCGAAAAATATACGGGATGTGTCTTGGTTATTCTAAAATATTTTTTGGATTTCGTGTTTTTTTTTTTATTTGACTTTATTGACTTTATACATAAATAAAAATGACTCAACACGAACATTTTTTCAAGATCATAGCCGACTACCCATAACTAAAATATATAATAAGAAAGTTGTATCATTTGTAGGAAAACCAAAAATACTAGTATAAATTTGAGTGCATACATTTTTGTATTTTTGTTTTTAAAAGCTCCACACTTTTGATTACTTTTAAATATGCGTGTTGTCGTGTGTTACTTTATTTCATCGAACACGAAACACGCTTGAATAAAATAACAATAATGATTGATTGATGCCCAGCCCAGAATATTGTGTGTGTGTGAACACATCGTAATTATGACCAGCCACATATAGACTAAGATATTTTCATATGTAAATAAATAGAGTTTGGGAGACCCTGTGTAGATGCGGCGGTGATGTCTGAAAATGTGGTTAATTTGGGGCATTTCATGGACGATAATGTCATTTGAACCAAACTAGACCTATGCGTTTAACTCATTTGCCGATAATTAACATTCGACCACGTACTACCAGGCAGGGAATACAAAATTCTCCGCTTTCACTTGCCGCATAGACCGCGAGCGGTAAACCGTAAACAAACGACCGTCGGGTCTCTTCCAAGACCCTCTCTTCATTTGTTTTGGGTTTCCTCGTGCACACCACTCTCGGTGGAAACTTTCCCCGGGCGTTGCGAAGGTAGTCCGGACCGCGACAGGCCACGCGACACTCCCGATCCGACGTCCAGCGACCTTTTCCAAATATGACGAAGGCCTTTCGTTTGAATTGACGGTGCGGGTGCGGGAATCCTCGACATGTTAAACACTATCGGTGCGGTGGTGGTGGTGGCCGTTGTGTTCCTTGGGGGTGCGAGGACGTTGCCCAACGAGAAACAGGCGCAGGAACTGATTTTGTTGGATAGTCTGGGGAAGAGAGGCGGAGTCGTCGCTAGCGATCAGGACACTTTGGTCGATATGCTCGGCAGAAGTAGGTTCCTCCTTATTTACTTTTTGGACATTTGGGGGCTCGATTTTGGAAGCTAGGGAACGATGTTATGCTGGGGACGGATGTTCTGTCTTTCCAACTCTTATTTATTTTATCAATAAACTTAACAGGGACAGAACAATCGTTTTTATGCGAAAGTATGTATGTAGACTTACTTTAATAATTAATTATTCAATCGCAATCACTTAGGTACTAGGTCCTAGGTCCGCGAGCTTAGGACTGCTGAAGCGTTATATAGTTTAATTTAAAAAAGGAAAGTTTTAGACTACTCTAACGAAATAAGATATATAAATATAAATAAAGTACCCCTCCCTAAATATGTAAAGAGGTTTGCGAATTGTTAAGCATCTAAATTTCATCTTCAAAATTTGCACCTGGAGATCTAGTGTAAGATATTAGGAAAGTAGGTACTTCAAAATAAATATCAGTCACTCGCGCCACCTCGTGGTAAGTTTTTTGACTATATTTCATTTTAAAATTAATACTTAGACATCTGGTGTAACAAAATAGGACATATAGATACTTAAAAATAAAACCCACCTAATTAAATATGTAAATTTTTTAGAGTCTGTGGGGTTCATTTTAAGCAATTGGTATTGGCAATATGGTATTTACATATTTAGATAACTACATGCTATGCATTTCAAAATGAAACATAGAATGCTACTTTAGTTTAACGTAAAACACCGTTCTTAAATATGTAATTTTTTATAGTCTGTGGGGCTTGCGAATGGGAAAGCGTTAATGAGAAAGTAAATTAAGTTAAAGAACCTAGGGCCAAAAGAAAATCTCAGTCACTTAGAGGTATCGATCTCGCGGCACTTAAATCTCATCTGGTATTTAGATATTTGATTTACAGGGGAGAAAGTCTTAGACTATTAGATTTCATTTTAAAACTGATACTTACGCATAAGAAAATTTGAGATATAGACACCTGAAAATGAAACACATCTCCTTAAATATGGGATTTGTGGAGTTTGAGGAAGTCTTAGACATCTAAATTTCATCCAACTAATTGCAATAGATAAACAACTATTCTATATTCCTTATTATTAATATTATTCGTAAATGTGCAAAGTGCAAAGCAGCAGTATTGGCTATTCAATTCCCTCCACCTCCCGAAACAGATTCTGTCACCCGATTTTAGATGCTGGACATAGCAAATTTCTCAGTTGGAGTACACGGAATTGCTCATAGAAAAAAATTATTAAGCTTAGACCGTTCGGTGAAAATCACCAGCTAAAGCCACCGGTCCGCGATAATAATAAACAAAAGCGACATAACTTTTCTTACATCAATTTTATTGTTCGATGCGCCTCGTGTTGTAAACATTGCCGCCATATTGCCCAAACAATCGCCGTTAACGCAACGAATTGTTTAGACTTATATTCTCCGAAAAATGCCGAAATTATTGTTAATTACGTTTGGCAACTTTAGCAGGGGTTGTGTTTATTTCGAGAACGGTTTCAGGGAAAAGTCAATATTGAATAGAGCAAAGGCTTATTCGAGCTCGCATTGTTTGTTCTGTGGTCTCGGCAACAGAATGAGGAGTCGTATGTGTAGTAGGAAACTCATGTTATTACAGTTTGGTTTAAATTTTATAGTTTGCATTAATGTATAGCTTTTACCTTCAGTTAGCTGCCTACGTCATTAAAATTGCGGGCTGTTAGGACGGAACAGAGACAGATTGTTAAAAGTTTGTTAATAATATGTAATACTAATAATTAAAAGTATTCAACACGCATTATGAAAAAACGATAACACATATTTACAAAATTTTAAGAAAATTAATAACTATATTATTTATATACAATTACATTTTTATTCTAAGCATAAAAATGTAATTCCATTTCACTATTCGTGAGTCGTTATTGGGATGGCTAAACATTTTTTATGAAACTGTTCACATCTGTCAGACGCCGGTTTTTTGTAAAATTGAGATAAATTCTTAAGATTTTAGCCCCTTAATCATGAAAGAAATGTTCTTATGATAAAACTTGAAATAATTGCAAAGATGGAAAATATCTGCTGCAGCACAAGACTCAAGTTCTACTCAAGAATCAAATTTAAATTTTGAAAATATTTAAAACGAATGACTTCGGTGATTTTGGTGAATGTAGCTTAGGCCATTCTAAAAAACTTCTGTTGGTCACTTCTTCACTGAGTGATTAAGGTCGCAAGTTGTCCTAAAGCAAACCGTTCTCTCAAGATTGGATTCACCTTGTATTGTCTTTTATTTGCTGTTTTCTTTTGTTTTTTTTTTTTAATAATGCATCCCAACAAAAGCTTCATCGACATCCCATGAAAAAATGGATTGGATATCCGACATAGTGGGAACGAGACATAAAAGTCATCAAGCAATTTTAGTAACTACTAGTAGGAGTTACATTGTGTGCTCTAATTTTTGATTTTACTTGGTTTTACAAATGATCCATAGGGCTAAACCATGTAGCTATTAGATAATATAGTGGCCAGCAGGCGGCATTGATATTTTCGTAGAAAAGGTAATGATTTTCCCCGCCTGCACTTTGCGCCATTTACTTTATAAACAGCGCTTTGCACACACGTAACTCGTTTTTCATTTAACGAGATCTAAGCAAACTTATTGACGATCTGTTAGCGGCCATGCAGGTCGTTCAATAGCGGAAGGTCATTGATTAAAAAGGAGAGTTTCAATCTTGCGCATGCGCAGGTTGAATGGACCTTCTCAAAAGATTTTTCATGGTTGCTTCATAAGTTCCGGTATAATGGACATAGGCAGGACCTCTATACCTCTAGCACTACTCGAGGGTTAAAAAAACCATAGTACGAAGTAAGACTGAAAACAATGTTTTTTTTCGCGTATATATTTGATGCATGATTTATTTATTTGTCAATCTCCACAATAATTTGAACCAAACTGTACTGAAAAAATCCACAATAAAATATTGCGTTATAACAAAAAATGAAACCTAGAAAGTTAATATGCAATACACTGGTAAACTTCTTCAATCATTTGTTTAACAAACACTGCATCTACTGCTGCATAATATTCTATTTGAGATCGTGTACCTATTTGAAAGATGGCCTGCTTTTTTGTGATGATCATTTTAGCACTTTTCACGCTGTTTTTCGCTTAAACCTTGGATATCGACAGTAACTATATTATCTCAGTTAATATTTGGAAAAAAACCATAACTATTCTCGCTGAAGACGTAGCAAATTGGGATTTAAATTTTAATATGAATCTTTTGGTGATTTTGATTCTCATTTTCATTTCTAGTGATTCCCCAATCTTGCCGCTACAGGGGCGTCAAATACGAATGCGGACTGAGCATCAGCTGCGTTCTCGGGGGCGGCAAGCCGCTCGATTTATGCTCGGGGGGCATGATATGGGCGTGCTGCGTTGACAGGGACGTCTCCTCGTCCTCATCGAACTCGCTTGGGCATCAGTCGGACGTTGGCATACTTAGCAACGCCAGTAAGTTTCTTTTTGCGAATCGCCATATGATGACATTATTAAAATGCCTATAAATCTTTAACCATCACCCAAATTTTGACATAACGGACGTTTTATAGCTCGAACTTTTCAAGGTTAGGGCGCGAGTGTTGTAAGCGAAATTGAAGTGGTCGATTCTGTATAATCGTCAGTTTAAATAACTCTTAAAAATGTGTGTGCATCTACAATGCCTATGAAGATTTCTGTCTACTTGATTTAAAGGAATAACGTCTAACTTACGAGATGTGTTCAAAATGTAGGTGAGTTTTAAGTTTTATCAAAAAGTATTTAATTATTTACTAAAATTAATGTTGTCCTCATCAACGTTATCCCCCCCCCCCAGATATAATACTCTTTCTTTTTTTTATCTCCTTTATCTCCTCAGTGGTTCCAAAATTCCTTACTTTCATGGGCTTCTTGAGAACAGGAAAAAGTCGCAGGAAGCCATATCCGGAGGCATGACTGTGGTTTTTGTTTTTAGCCAAAAAGTTAGACACAAACAACGATGAGTGAGTGAGCATTATCGTGATGTAAAATCCATGAATTATTTTCTCACAATTCCGTACGTTTTCTTCGTTTTTTTTTTTTGACAAACGGCGCATAACTTCAACTCTTCATTGATTGTACGAGCTTGTGGTAACAGCTCTTGATGTGCTATGCCACAATAATCAAGGAAAAGAGAAGCAAAACCATGACATTTTTTGGGACGACTGGGCTTTGGTTTCGACGTCAGAACCATTTACCCATAATTCGTCACCAATTGTGACTTTTTTGAGTATATCACGATTATCATAGACCTTGTTTGACAGATCTTGAGCGATACTCCTTCGACGCTCCTTTTGTTCAAAATTAATCAGTTTTAGAACAAATTTAGCTGTTACACGTTTCTTACCCAAAACTTCGGAAAAAATTGCATAGCACGAGCCACCACGAGATGCCGGCACTTTCAGCTCTTTCTCTAATAGTGATTCGACGATTTTTCAATCCCATTTGTTTCACTTCTTCAACGCTTTCATCAGTTATTGACGTGCTACGGCGTCCAGAGCGAGTTTCGCCATCGGTCTCTTCTCGGCCATCTTGGAACAACTAGTACCACTTATAAAGAATTTTTTTGCTCAAAGTAGATTCACCATATGCCGTTGTAACATTTTAAGTGTTTTGCAGCACACAAATCACTTCTAACGCTTTTGTCTCATAAAACAAAAATAAACGTGCAAACTGGCTGAAACTGGGAACATATATCTGTACAACATGTGTACCAACATAACAAAAAAAAACGAATGTACTTAGCCCGCCCAATTACAAAAGTTGCCCTACTTTCTGAACATACCTCGTATAAGCAGTTATGGTAATGCTTTAATTTAAATTTGACGCACCAAACAGTTTCTATACATTGAATTGTTGGGATTTGGCGGGGAAGTCATAGTGCTAATTTGACCGAGTAAGAAGATATTTATAATGTATAATAATTACGCCGGAGGACGACTTTCGCACGCGAAATAAAACGCAATTACTATCCGCTCATCATTCAGCGCAACATCTATCTGCATCGACATTAATGGCCGCATCTCTCTATGGCTTCCGCGTTCTGAATTTGAATTGCGCCAGAATAACAATCGCCTCGTTATAAATTGCAAGAGGAACAAACCGTACATCACATGTAATTTATACAAAAAGCTTTTTTAATTCGCTCGTGGGGATTTGGTGGCAGTTTAACGAAAAATTTCGCTATTGTTTTTATTTTTGTAGAATTTTAGGATTTAGGAAGGTGGTTTTATGTGGACTTGAATCTGTTATGAGTTTTGATTTATAGAGGGAGACACAAGAAAGTGGGAACACTTCATAACTTTTAAACGGCTTGAGATAGCGATTTGAAATTTGAAAGGGTTAATATGGGCCGAATGCGCTAAAATCGATGTCTTTTGGAGGTAGCGGACGCGTCCCCGAGCATGATTTTCGAGACAAGGTCAAATATGAAAACCTCATCTTGATACGCGGTGTCGTTTTTGAGCTACGAGGGGATTTTCGAAAGTTTTCGTTTTAGGAGGGAACCCATAATTTTTTTATTTGTAAAAATTTAATTTTCGCGTTCAAAGGTTTTTGTTTTCTCGTAAACTGGTAAACGACAGTAAATTTTGAATTTTAAGTGGCACCACCTATATTTTTTGCATTTTTGGATTCATTAGATCATTCTACGTAGGAAGGGACGGTTTTTATCTTTTTTTTTTTAGTTTTTAAATGGTGTCTAGGACGCTGTAACCACCAAAAATACTCTTTACTGATCATGCATCTTTATTTCTCAAATGGCAAATAATTTAAACTAGTTTTTTTCAAATATCACCCTAGTGGGAACAAAAGCTTTTTAAAACCGGTACTTCTTTCGCGACATTTTGATACCAAAATTTTCAAAATCCGTTAAAAAGTAAGCTCACAGGAAGGAAAAAACTGGATAAGTAAATACATTTTTATAAAAACAAAATATTACTTCGGTGGCTTTGCTTCTATTCATCATCAAGTCGGCATGATTGAAAATTCTGACAGTTTGCACATTTTTATTTGACTATCGATTTTGTCATTTGGATTATCATGGAAAACAATAATCAATTTATAAATAGAGAAAAAGTTGATATGTTTCTGTTATACTGGGAATGTAGAAAAACTGTCGCTATCCGGGACGTCGCCTTTTTGCATATTCTTTGTTTCGAAAGCTGGAATTGAAAATAAGAAATCCATAAAATAATCGACATGATAATTTTATTATAAGCTAAGAAATGGAAATCAATGTTGTGGGATATGTGAACGTAAATCCAACTGCTTAACTCAGAGAAGTGGCATTAGAATTAGACATCTCAAGAGAATCAGTGAGGAGAATTAAAAAAAAAGACTGCTATCATTCTTTCATCACCATCTTTATGAAGCTGACTTTGTAAGTAGATTTCGATATTGTAATTGGCTGTTAGATAAACATGACGAGAATAATAATTTTTGTGTTAAAATGTTGCAAAAAAAGTACCGGTTTTAACAAGTTTTTGTTCCCAGTAAGGTGTTAATTGAAAAAACTAAAAATTTAATAGTTTATTATATTAAATGCTATTTGCCAAGTAAAAAAAAGTTTTATTTACCATTTTTCCCATAATTAGATGAACCGGTAAATAGTATTTATGATGGTCACAATGGTCCTAAACAGAATTTTCAAAAATTAAATAAAAATTTAAAAAGACAAAAAAAAGCTCCTATCCTACGTATGCAAAAAAATATAGTTGCGCCATTTAAAATTCGGAAGTTACTGTCGTTTCCGCTCAAACTGGAAGTGCAACCATATTTTCAAAAAATTGGACATTCAGTTCATATTAACCCTTCCAAGTTTCAAATCGCTATCTCAAGCCGTTTAAAAGTTATAGAGTGTTACCACTTTCTTATGTCACCCGGTATATGTTATTTAATTTCGTGTGAATAACACAATCAAGTTTGTGGTCATTTAATATTAAATAAAGATTCAACATCTGTATTTGATTTTATAATTTTATTATTTTTTATTTTTTTGTCTACACGATGTTACCAACATATTAAAAGAGACTGAAACTAAATAATGAGCAAAGTGAAAAGCAAAGAAGACAACAATTTAATATGACCCCTAACCGAGCAAACAAAAATGAAACACGTTCATAATTGACTAGTTTAAATTCTCGCGGAAAATATAAAAAAAATCCTGTGTACAAAGTCTTTCTCATAAACCGCGACTGACCCCTTTAACCATCCAGACACTGATATCTACCACCTGGCCGGCGTTTTCCCCCCGGACTCTCCAGAAGACAGTCGCCCGGAAGCGAACCACGTGGACCGACCACCCTTCGTAACTTACCACCAGGCCACAAACAACAAGCGACCTCACGGAAATCACAATCATAGACCACCGGAAGGTCAACGTCCCTCCTTAGCTAACCCGGAAACGCCTAGACCTGGAACCCAGTACCACCACAACGAAGATGACGTCGACTACGGCTATAACCACAGACCTGGTGGATATGAGAATTACGAACCACCCAACTACAGTGGTAACTAACACCGCCCTTTTGTCGTGCACTAACTATTCTTCGTCTCTTCTGTGGTGGTAGTCGCTTTGGTTAGTGTGTCGGTCCGGTGCTGGTAATTTTGTAAACGCCACATGTCGTCGGTGATCCATATGGCCACTGCAATTACCTCGAGTTTAATTGGTTATTAAGGGGACGAAAACTTCTTTAATCCCATTCGAGTTTAATATTTGGCGTTCTAACGGGCAGGAGTTGGATCGTTAGAAGTGCAATTTCCACGCTCACTTCATGCGCACCAGCACTCAAAAACATCATCCGCGGTGGGACCAAGTGATGCATACAATTCGACGGTTTTCTACATTCTTCTGCCGATAATGTATATCAAAAATTAAAATTTGATTTCTACTAATTTAACGTACTTTAATAGGCGTCGACAATTAATTGTAACTTCTATTCTCGGTACGACACAATAAAAAACCAATTGGTTTGAGGATGGGGAAGATGTTGCGATTGCTTGTTTCTCAATACTCAGCAACCATTGTTTATTGTTATTCGCAAATAATCTGGTCGTAATTCTCCTAAAAAGTAACATTGTGCTCAACAGTAGAGGGAAAATTTATATGATAATGATACCTATCGTTAAGATGTTGTTTTTTTTTTTCAAAAAAAAAAATATTTTGGAAGCATTTTATTTCGCAAACTAAATTTATATACTTAAGCGATGAAGACAGAAATCTAAAGGACATCCACCATTAAGTCAACATATTTCAGTAAATCAATAAACATTTTATTAGTCAATTTATTTTATTATGCTTTCGTAACGTAGACACTTTATGAACGTGGAAAATTTTAATTAATTTTATTAAATTTAATTTTAATTATATTGAATAAGGAAGTATTCACGTAAATTTAAGAATTTCTTTTTAAGGAGTTTTGATTGATTTAAACATGTCTTGATTTATTGAAGAAAGAAAGAAAAGGATAATAACCGAATTAACATTTGATTTTTAGTCTGAAAGGATCATAAATCCATTTTTTTTACATTCTTAGATTTTGCTCTTGAATCAATAATATTTTTTGCATTTTTTTGGGTTATGGTGCTATTGCACACTTATGAAAAATGAAACATTTTTTTTTGTTTAGTGTTCAGGCTAAAAAACATTTTTTAGGATCCTATTTTAAAGAGGTTCTTGTCAGTGTCGATGCTATTTGTTTCCAGGCAGACATTTCCAGACTATGTAATTTCCGATTTAATCGGGATCCCCACTCCTGCACTTCCTCCTTTGATTGCGCTACCGTCCAGGGCATTCGTCCTTGTAAACGCGCGTGTTTTAACGATTACAGGCTGCGGAGAACTGCACACCCGCAGCAACAGGATCGTGGGAGGACACTCGACAGGATTCGGGTCGCATCCTTGGCAGGTGGCCCTGATCAAGACGGGTTTCCTAACAAAAAAACTCGCTTGCGGCGGAGCCCTGCTCGACGATAGGTGGATTGTTACCGCCGCACATTGCGTCGCGACGTGAGTAGTGGCGTTGGGTTTTCCTCGCAATTTAATTATATTTAAAGCGATAGAAAAATCTTTGAAAAACGCGTTAACAATTTTAATTTATAAATCTTTCTTTCTTTTTTTAAGACCGCATTTTTAGTAATAATTAAATCGCTTCGCCACTTAAAGAAAATGCAATTTTCCACACAAAATATTATTAAATTAAAATGGTTGTTAATTTTAAGCCATAACTTATTTTTAAGCAATTTAAATGAGATTATACTAAAACACAATTTTTAAAATAGTTTTTACTCTGCTAGTTTAGAGACAATTTGTTTATTATGCAGAATATCTAACGTGCGTGCCTAATTATTTTTTTTAAATCTATAATTTAACTTAACTGGAAAACAGGTATGGTCTGCTCATAGATATAAGAAAGTGATCAGTTGCTTTTGAATGGAATTATCCAAGGGTGGTCATTAACATACAATGCAATAAGATTATTATCTAAAGTTTCGGAATTTAAATTCAGGTAAAATTGTGGTCCGTAATAGAAAATAATTTTGTACCTACCTGTGTTTAATATTCTTTGGTTTGACTACTTAGTTTAAGTTTATTAGTAATCATTCTTATTTCGTGTGTACGACAGCGTGTGTTGAATCGTGTGCGAATTATGAAAAATATGTGCGAGTATCTCAGGAGATGCTCCCGCCCAAACAATGTTTATTTGACTCTCATTGAACGTGGTGCCAGCAAGCAAGCATCTTTAGAAGAAACGGCCACATTGACGAAAATTCCAACATCAACTGTATCGAAAATTGTGAATAATCCCATTTCAGCGAGGAAAAAAAGAAGCGATGCTGTCATTTTCTCGAGTGTACGGCGTAAAATTTACCAGTTATACGAGGAACAAAGCGTGCTTACGTTAGATATCTTAATTAGGAGGCTTGAAAAAGATGAAACCGGTGTTGAATGTGTCAGAACTACCTTATGAAGTGTATTTAACACATGGGTTTTAGATTTAAAAAAATTGATAAAAGGCAAGTTTTAATGGAATCTTTTAGAATTCGGATATGGCGACTGGAATATCTAGAAAAAATTTGGATTTACAGAGAATAACAAAGGCCAATTATTTACTTGGATGAAACCTGGTTCGACACTTATGATACGCCGGAAAAGGGTTGGGTTGACTCAACTGATAAGTGTAAAACCATCAAAAAGAGGTAAAAGAATAACTATTTTGCATGCTGGCTCTAAAGATGGTTGGATTACAAATGGACTTTGTCTGTTTGCGAAAATGTGTAAAGATTCTTCTCTGGATTACCATGAAGACACCACAGCTGATTTATTTGAAAGTTGGTTTAAAAACAAACTAGTTCCAATCATTCCTCATAATAGCGTCATTGTAATGGACAATGCAAGTTATCACAGTAGACAGTTGACTGAAACCCCTTCCTCATGTGACACAAAAGCAACAATTTAAAACTACATGTATAATAACGACATTTTTTTTCACGAAGATTATACCAAAAAGCAATTAATTGAGGTGCTACAAAGCTTGAACCTACAAAGGGAATACGTCTGTGATAATTATGCAAAAAATCTAGGGCATACAGTTTTAAGGCTTCCACTGTATATTTAATTAATTTAATTAATTAATTAATTTAATATATTTAATCCCATTGAACATGTTTGGCACCAACTGAAATCTGCCATTCGTCGTAACAATGTTTTTCCCCGTGTTTACTCCAATGTCCTCAAGCCTATAGAAACCGAAGTTTTTAACATCCCTCCACAAAGTTGGGCAAATTCTGTTAAATATATAGAAAAAGCAGAACAATCGTATATCCATATTACAAATAATATAGAACAAATTATAATATCTATTATAATAGCTATGATAGCGATGATAAGGATATAGTATGTGTATAATTTTAATTAATTTAAGAAGGTAATAAAATAATTTATAATTTTATTTTAGATTTAAACAAAAATACATACATAAATAAATAAACACTGTTTAGTATCTTTCCTAACAAAACCCCAAATAAATAAATTCTAGGCAAAGTACGGACCTGTTCGGCCATATTTCATTCTTACAGCTTGCCCGGGTCTTTCCTTGATTCGTATCAGTTAGTCACTTTCTTAAATCTATGAACAAACTTTAATATTGACGTTACAAATCGAAAACGGTCTATTTATTAAACTTATGTGACCTATTTATTGGTGTCAGGTGTGGGGCTAAACTTTAGTAAAAATAATAAAGTGCATTTTAAAAACTTTTCTACATTCTGTGTATCGAAATGATCAATCGACAGTGTTCACGGAATTATTTGAATTCAAACATAAGGAACTTGGTCCCGAAATATTTTATGGGGTGTTATTTTTCATACAATACCATTTTAGTTGACGGGGTATAAAAAAATATTATAAACGTTTTGCCTGGTATTTTCTTAAACAAACATTATACATTATCACGGAAAGACGTCTTTCCTTTTATGTGATTAAAATTCATCATTAATTATTTCATGCACAGAAATGAATATGTTCAAGATTTCTGATTAAATTTATCGTAAACGGTATTCACAAGACACTTTGCAATTTTTCCTATTTGCAGGACAGCAAACGGGAACATCAGGATCCGGTTGGGCGAGTGGGACGTCCGCGACCAAAACGAAAAATTATCCTACGAGGAATACACGATCGAACGGAAAGAAGTCCACCCGGCATATTCGCCAACTGATTTTAAGAACGACGTCGCTCTTGTCAAACTTGATAGGAAGGTCAGATTCAAACAGCACATCTTACCGGTTTGCCTGCCCCCCACTGCTGTAAGCAATTTTGTGATATTCGAAATTTAATTAGTTAAGGAAATATAGCATAGCGATTTGCCCGTTGAATTAATTAATTAAAACTTTAATAAAACATAATATTAGTCACGAGCTTGATTTGAAGAAATTTATCAATGTGTTGCATACTATACTTATTTTACTACATGGGTAGATTATTGCAAAGTACCACGAACACAAGCAAAGTGTGTCGTAAACATCAGATCTGAAAAACGTCAAAAACCAAGACTGAACCGAAAACATCCGATCGCTCACACACCAGTGAACACTGACATTCTTAAAATTCTGCAGCTAGCTAGAGTACCGTGACTTACCGCTCAGGAATATGGATCACTAAACAACTTTTTTTTAGCGAAGAAGACCAAATATTCCTGTAAATAATGCTATGAGTAAAGGAGATATTGAGGCTACTGTATTGAACTTGAAGTAACCATTCATGCACCTAAAAATTATTAATTTTCTGCGTATGCAAGACTTTCGTTACTTAATTTTCAAATTTTTCGTCGGAGACAGTTAAAATAATACGTATCATTATGCTAAATTAAACACGAGACGAGAGAAAGTGATCGGAGCATGCAGGCGGAAAAAATCGCCCTGTTGTTGTCGGAGACGATCGAAGAACAAAAGATGTCAGGTGGAGTGAGGCACAACACAGCGCACGAGGAAGTGAAAAATGGAATAAACGAAAGCAAAGAGCTCACATCGACAATGCGCTGTTCCTATTACGCTTTTACTATTACCTCAACGCAGAATGCCTCAAATGCAATAGTCTGATATATCGAGCCCAAATATGTCTGATTAAAATATTCACTGATATACAGTTAAAATTTAGTTCTCGCGAAACCGTTCTATAGAATCATAATTGAATACACGCAAGGTCGAGTATGCTATAAGGTTGTCTGGATGCTTGTAAATCGGAATTATTCGTTTTATATTCGCATTAGATTTAAACTCAACCCCTTAAAAGTTTCGTTACCGTCTCTGCAAAATGTACACATTATACAGGGTGTTCCTTAATGCTGCGACGATGCTGAAAGATTAAATTTAACTTAGTATGAACGTATGCCGTTAACATCTTAACGCCAGCCTGCGCCTTTTCCGCAAAAAGCAAAATGAACTCAACGGAAACCCAGCGTGCAGTAATAGTTAAAAATTATAAGTCCGTGTAGCGAAATATAACACTGTGTAGTAGTTCCGTAAACAAATGTTTGGTGCCTTGGGTGTGGTCTATCGAATATTGATTTTATATACTTGTGGACAAAATAAGCGGTTCCTTTTCAATTCCGTGTTGATCCCGCTAATACGATGAAGGTAAGATACTTGACAAAATTTTAAACTAAAATAAATTCCTAAAAAGAGTGACGAATTTTTTGGAAAATAATTCCAGCAACACTAAATTTAACTATTTTAATTAAGAACGCTGTGTTTGAGTTTTGGTTACTTTCACGCGAGTTACGTCATAGCATGACATCTTTCGCTAGTTCGTTACTGGATGTCGTAAATTGACACACGAATTTTGTTTGTCAGTTTTCAAATCCCTGTCAAAAACCGAGTCAATATCAAAATTGTTTAGCTAAGACATACGTGACTGCGCGACTGCCTTGACTGGGCGTTACCAGGTTTTTCTTCACAAATGTGCGATATAAATCTAGGACGGACGCCACTGGTAGAAATAAAAAAGTATCGTGCATCTGAAAATGCCATTTATCAAATCTCAGGAAGATATCAATGTTAGGACATTTAGGTTAAAGCTTGGTATAAAGATTCTTTCTTAGAATGAATCCACAAATGATGCGCTTGATATTAGACCACAGACTTATTTTGTGTCTCTGTGCCATCATAAAGGTAACATCTGTCCATTGCAGATTAAATTGCCTGGCAAAATGGCAACAGTGGCAGGCTGGGGTAGGACCAGACACGGGCAAGCGACCGTGCCGTCGGTTCTCCAGGAGGTTGACGTGGAGGTCATCTCCAACGATCGGTGCCAGAAATGGTTCCGAGCGGCTGGTAGACGCGAGATCATCCATGACGTCTTCCTCTGCGCAGGATACAAAGAAGTATGACGCTACTAATTTTTAATTTTATTTGATAACAAGACTATCTTCGGTTTTAGGGAGGGAGAGATTCCTGCCAAGGAGATTCCGGTGGTCCGTTGACGATGACGGTCGATGGCAGGAAAACGCTTATCGGTTTGGTGTCGTGGGGCATCGGGTGCGGTAGGGAACACCTACCGGGCGTCTATACGAACATTCAGAAATTCGTGCCTTGGATAGGAAAGGTCATGCAGCCTTAGTGTCGCTAAACACTAATAATTTATTTAATTTAAAAGATTGATACCAAAAACTATCACTCCGTGTATTGTTACTTAAGAAGTTGTTGTTAAAAAGCGTGCCAAGGGAAAACGAAAGCAATAATTGGCTGAGGTGGTACAATGAGTCTTCTTATTTCTTCTTTTCATTTCTATGGTCTGGTACGTCCCAGACAACGTTGACGACTGCACCATCTAGTACTAAAGCTACTATAACACTAGGCACAGAAATAATGACACGCACGACATCATCGTGGTCCCCTTTTTAGTTTCTCTGTAATTTATGCCATGGATGACCAATTGCATCAGCGTGGTCATCAGTTGAAAAAAAAACGCGCTGTAGGAGCACGTCCTAACCTCATTTTTTTTAACCAAGAATATGTTTTTGTTGGTTGACTTTTGCTGCTTATGTTATTCTCCAAATCAATGAGTTTGTAGTTAAATAAATATGTGGATCGAAAGCAATCGCGGTGGAGAGAGAATACAATGCAGCGCGCGTAGCGCGTTTTCAGCAATATCGAAAAATAAGTTTGGTGATGCGGTTACCATTCAACACGGTCTCACGTGGTTGTCGTATTTACACAACCATGGGGTTGCGGCATTTTGGGTAGAGAAATTCCGTAAATGTTTGAATTTTGACACGTTTCGTTGTTTAAATTAAGTGCTTCATAAATTAATGACACTCACTTGTATATGCGTAACACAAATTTTACTGATCGCTAGCTGAATTTAATTATATTTAACGTTAATTTTTAAATTTTAAAATTCTTAAATTTGTAAATCTGTATCAGATACTCGCGTATTATTTGATTTACTTTTCCGTTTGTTATTTATAAACGAACATTGTTTATATTTGAAATTGTTTTCACCGGAGTAGAATAACCAATATTAAATCTGGTAAATACATTTGTGCCTTTTATTTTGCTTCCCTTTTTAATTAATTACATTTTAAACAACGAGTGGGATGTTTGAACAAAGAAAAATCTGAACCAATCACTCGCATATAAAAAAATAGGTAATTCGATGTTAAAAGGTCATTAAAGGTACGTTAAAGTTCAGTAATCTGATAAATTACCATTATCTTATTAGTATTTAGGCGTTATCGTTCAAAATGATGACGCATAACAACATCAACTGAGGTAAAGTCTGTTCATAGATATAAGAAAGTGACTAACTGATACGAATTAAGGAAAGACCCGGGCAAGCAAATTATTTTCTATTAGGGACCACAATTTTACCTGAATTTAAATTCCGAAACTTTAGGTAATAATCTTGTTGCATTGTATATTAATGACCACCCTTGGATAATCCGACTCAAAAGCAATTGGTCACTTTCTTATATCTATGAACAGACCATACCCGGAGACAGAAAGGAATATTTTTTTAAATGGATTTTGTCTATTAGGTTATATTGTGCGTGTTGGCAAATACCTTGAAATCTGAAAATGTTGTCATTTCTTTCATGTTGATTTGACTTTTAATAAGCAACAAAATTTATTGCGAGTATTTCCGGGATATTACCGCACGGTTTTTCGGAGATTTTACTTTAGTGAATGTATTGTTATTGTTTTGCAAAAATGTACCCAAAAACTGACGGTCGTAGAAAATAGTATACTTTGCAACAAGTACGGTAAACGGCATTTGACTCACAAATTTATATGACATGAGCGGAGCGAGTGTTTAATAAACGAGTGACTTAAAAAGTTTACTAAACGTGTTGTATAATATACTTTTTCTACGACCGCTAGTTTTTGAGTACATTTTCGCAAAACAACACGAATACATTCACTGACATGACCGTCAGAATTGACAAACGTCAAAATTCAAGGCGTGGGAAATATCTCCGAAAACATTCATTGCTCCCAAACGCGTGCGGTAAAATCCCGGAAATGTCCGAAGTGCCTCGGATTCGTGGGAAATGAAACTAATGTGCTTCCCGCACGCTAGATCGGTGTGTAATTAGGCAGTTTCCAGATGGGAGTAGAAAAAGTATAGTATGCAACATGTTTGGTAAGTTTTTTAAGTAACTCGTTTATAAAAAACTCGCTTCGCTTGTGCCAAATAAACTAAAGGCTCAAATACCGTTGTTGCATAAAACAATGTTTAATGTGGTTAAGAATAATAATAAAAGGTGGTCAAATGTAATTGAAAGCACTGTTTGTGTAATTTTAAAACACTGCTAAAACTGCTTTTTTGCTTGAATTTGAAGATCCGGTTTTTCAGTAGATAATAATATTTGATATTGATTTGATTTGATATTTGATATTGATATTTGGTATTATGGTAAAAATTGAGGCGAGTCAGGTGGCTAGGATATTTTTGTAGCGATGCAAATGACCTTCGCTTCTTTTACTTTTCACACTTGCACTTTGCGCCACTTTCTTATAAAACAGGGATCTCGACACACTTTTTACCTGAAAATTTAATGGGATCTGCATATATTTTGAAAAAAATACTGCCTCAAAAATGCCGCTAGGTCTTATTGATTAAAAATGAGGTTTTAAATCTCGAGTATGGGTATGTTGAAAAAAAAAATTCATAGTTGCTTATTAAGTTCCTGTGTAAGCGCATGCGCTGTCATGTGAAATCTTATCTCCAACCAATAAGACCTAAAGGCATTTAACAACCCACATGGCCGCTAACAGTTCGCGAATTCGATAGGTTTCAAGTTAGATGTAGCATTTTTACGACAGTATTTTCTCAAAATATGCCCAGATCTCGTTAAATATTCTGGAAAAAGTGTTATGGAGATCGCTGTTTAAAGACAAAATTTCTCCAAGTGCAGGTTGATGGGTGATATTTAGATGCATGCGCATCTCTACGAATATATCATACCCTCCCGAGCCAATTTTTACGTTACTAGGCTCACTATATTCTCTAAAATAGTTATACAATAGATAATATAGTGAGCGACCAATAAGAGCTTGCGTCGTTTAACAACGAACGTGACGGCTGACAGTTCGTCAATTCTACAGTTTCCAGTTTGGATGTGGATGTGGATGTGGCAACCATCCCCTTCTCTACGAAAATCTCTAGTCGCCTGAGAAGCATCAATATTCTGGTATCTACGGCGTCTATTATTAAAACCTACTAGCTATATGGTTTTAGTGGTGTATAGTAAAAGAAAATTAATGACAATATTCTATGCGACGCGGGTGCATGGTTCTCCAAAAGACGTGAGCAGGCGGCAACGCCGTACTGGGAGGTCTTTTTTCGTATTCTGCGCTCCGGTACAAGCGTTAAGACAGAGGCGTGCTCGCGGCGGTTCATTAGTGGCGACAAGTGTATCGCGAAGTGACTCGAAATAGGTCTAACGGTACCCTCAGGGGTCCCCACCTCCTGGTGTAGCGCTAGTACCGCGACGGCGACGAGGTCCATGACCCTTTGCCGGCTAGAAGGCCTTCTTCGTGGGCCCGAAGAGGAAGATAGTGCGGTCCCGGTACGGTTACGGGTTGGAGTGGAGAAATTGTGCTATAGTCGACGTGCTGTACGATAGTAGTTTGACGGTCGTTCCGAGGTCGGACATTGGGTTACCGGAATTAGCGGGAATATTTTTTGGCATTTTGTGCGGAAATTTTCGAAATGCGTCTTTCGCCCTCTAGAAGGAAATTCGGGGCCGAACTTGAAGACACGATGCAGTGACTTTAAACTCGCGCGATCTTGGCGTTTTCATTAGAATACACTTTTTTTTATAATATTGTTTTCGGAGCGCGAAACCCACCGAGGTAAGTCCAAGAGTTGTAAAATATTTCTATTTTCTAGATTTTTTTTGTAATCAGCGAGTTCCTGTAATGATCCTGGTCTCAGTCTAAAGCCAGTGATAAACTACAGTTGCTTTTATTAAACTTAATTTACAAACATCCTCAATTTTCGAGATTATAATTAAAACCAATTCATCATACATTAAGTCGATCGTTACACTTCTATATTGATAACTTTGGACAACAAAACTAATGTACACATAAAACGGTTAGAAGTTGACTTGAATAATAAATTTACGGAATGCGTTAACTTTTAACGGACTCGAGGGAAGATCGTATGAGAATAAGGTGAATTATTTAAAACAACATTTAATTATTAAATACATTTATATATCTTCTTTGTTCGTAATATGTTTGTATTAATTTTGATGATTATTCAAAGACATCAAGAATAATGCTAAATATACTTCTTTTATACCTATAAGATCTGCGCTCAAACGATAGCAAAATTGATGATAAATAAAGAAAAGATTTTTGGAACTTGCTTGGACAGAATCCCAAGACACAGAAAACAATATTAAAATAAAATTTGTTTATTTTTCTACTCACCATTTCAAAATACCCAAGTAGGTGGTAAGTGTCACTTTAATACGTCAGATATCTACGGTAGCCAGTCACTTCAGACATTTCCGGTACTTTAGTAACGGGTCTGAGAGCGAAAGAATGTTAGCTTTGTTATTTTGACATTTGTTAGTTCTCACGGTGACGTCTCACGTCATTTAGTATTCGTGCTGTTTTGCGAAAATGTACCCAAAAATTTATATTATATTAGTTTTGATGCTTTTTCAAAGACATCACGAACAATGCCAAATATACTTATTTTATGCCTATAAGATCTGCGCTCAAACGATAGCAAGACTAAAAAATAGGTGAGAAATTGATGATAAATAACGAAAAGATTTTTGTAACTTATTTGGACAAAATCCCAAGACACAGAGAATAATTTTTGTTTATAACGTTGTTAGTCGTATAAAGGTATTATATATTTTTAAAGTCGTGATTTTTGATCACTTTCAAAAATGTAAGTACTGTTTGGGGATGTATCAAATTTTTGTATGATTTGTATGAATTTTTTTATAATTGTAATTTTGAAGGAATCAAAATATCACTAATATCGCATTGTGAATGAAAAAGCTCCAGCTGTCTTTAAATTTGCATTTTCAGAGCTCTGGGGCTCCCAAGATACAGTTTGCCCTTTATAACAAAAAATATATGCTGTAGAATTTTCGAAGGCATATGGTGCAAAATGTGACTATAAAAGGAAAACTATAAAATATCAATAAATATTACAGGCACTAACATAAATATTCTTATTAAATATTTGAGCTCCCCACCCTTGGTCACTTTCATCTATAAAAAAACACGCGTAAACCATATTACTCCTTCAATAAACAAGTTTCATATTTTGATTTACTAAGAAGGTAATCTCGACCGTTATCGCACAAATTCAATATTATTCAACCACTTCGGGACAAACATTTTGACGGCAAAATATTTTCTCTTCCACTTGGCCGAGAATTTCGTCTAATCGATTTGATTCGAACCAAATTTTAACTGATTTCAGGTCTCTTTTTTGGAATACGAAAAATTGACAAAAGTGAAGCTTATTATTTACAAAGGACATTAATTTAAACGGCATCATATAGTTCCCCTGAACTCAGATTTGTCGAGCGTAGTTCACATTCACATTCGGTGAAATATTATTTATATCTAATAAAATATTTTTTTAAATGAGAAAAATGTTAAATTTTTCTCAAAAATATCTGTAACTATTATTTCACTGTTTTCCTATTTTTATCTCTTTGTGAAAAATTAAATAATAACGACGCTGATTCGACAGCAGATGATAACTTTAATACCGCATTAAATCGATTGAAATATTTTATCATGTGTGCGTTAGGTACTGTCGAGTTTCTGTAGAAGAGTAAAATAGGCTATGAAAAGATTGATAATCATCCACAGGCTCTTGGTCCTTGCTCTATTGTATTCTAAAGGAGAATCAATATTTGGCCTATATGGAGCCGAGTGACCCAGTTCTCGAGTATTGGACATTTTCAGATTTTTTCCCGACTGGCAGTTTTCATATTCAGAATTCGATAACTAAAATATACACATAAATCAATTTCTGTTTACGTATTAGCTTGCACAAAGTGCAAAAAATAAATTTTAGAAAATAACGAGAATTCCTTGTAATTATGGAAGCCATGAGTCGTTTCGGAATTATTGCTATATTAAAAGTTATTGTCATTATGCTGACCGCTTTCGCATCCCAAGTTAATCTGTGCCCAGTATTTTGGAGACTAGACAACCAAATTAAAACCTGTACTGTGCTCATCATCGCGTGTGGCATTAACATGCAGTGAAGGGAGGAAACTGAGTTTTTGATCTACATTTTCCCGCTGTTCGTCAGGTTCTCACGGAATGAATTCCAAACGACTGCAATCATCCAAAAAAAGTCCATCGTTACGCATCGGCGAGTTTGCGATTATTATCGCCGTAGTTAAGTCCGTTGGTCGATTTACTTTTACGATATACAAAGCGCGGGTGAAACAGTTACCATGTTTCCTTCTTGTTCAACACAAGTCGGCCATCGAGGATACCCTCGTAAAAATTACCGGAAAATACTAACGACGGGATTATTCGAACAATAAATTAACGATAATTCGATTCAACTATAATAATTCATATTATGAAATAATGATTAAGCTCATAGATAACAGAAAAGAAATCCAACACTATTTGAGTAGCATAGTATCTGTTTTAAGTGAATTTCAATTTTATTTTGGTTATATTTTATTGAACAAACTTTATCAATTAATTAATTTATTTATTAATGCCTTACCAGCAAACCCAACCACCTCCCCCTTAACTTTCTGTGATAAAATTTTGTGTAGTTTTAAAATTTAATACGAAAGTATCGCCTTCCTGCCGTGACCGATAAGTATTAAAATGGACGCATTGAAAAGAAATGTCGGTTACGCCACAACAAAATTCGGCTGCTGGTAATAAGTAGGTCATTCGCGGGAGATGGTACTGTTTTTAAGGAGGCGTGGTCCGGCTTCAGAGGCTGCTGCGGTACCTTCGAATACTACTTAAACGAAGCGGGCGTTACACGTACAAATTTCGGTAGATTAACAACAATCATAATACTAAAATAGAGAAAAAATAACAACTGTGCAGAGGAAAATACTACTACTACTTACCACTTGCAGCATTATGGAAAAGTTCAGTTTAGTTTAGCAATTTTACGAAATAAGCCCTTAATGCAAGGCATAATATTTCCGGCTCTGAGAAATCTTTGTCAGTAGTAAAAAGGCTACTGTGTAAAAGACAATTACTGTAGTTTGAGAGTGCATACTAAAGTTTGCGAAAGTGCTTTTTTTGTTTTTGATCTAACGTATGGCTGTTAACAGCGGAAGTACAAATTTCATCTATGTTAAATGTAATAGATTTCCTTTTGCTGATGTGATACATAAAAATAAAATAAGTACTATTTTAATTAATAATAAATACTTAAAAGTTACGGTTTTCATTATGCCATAAAAAATTCAGAAATGAAAATAAATCGCGATTAGCAAACCAAACTAGTGCTGCGTTGTTACCTCGTTCGGTACGGAAAGAAACAAGATAGAAAAAAAAGAATAAATTAAAAACGATTTACTGATTTTTAACCATCGTGGATAAAGGGGGAGATGTGTGGGCCCAGAAATGTCGCTGACCGCTAAAACTGGTTTACGAAATATTACGCACGGTTCGCTATAACAATGATTCATTATTCATAATATAAACAATTTCTCCACGCGAATCGTCATCCAAGGAGCGACCAAAAATTTGGCACATCCGTTAACCGATCGATAACAATCGAAGAGAAAGTGGCGCGATTCAAGATGGCATCGGAAAAAATTCCGATGACGAACAGCAAAAGTATATAAAAAAAGCACATACAAGTCCATCTAACTAAATACATTAACCAAACAAACTATCATCAATCAAGTTTTCAAATGTTAGCATTTTTGGATTTTCATTTTTCTACTCACCATTTTAAAATACCCAAGTATGTGGTGAGTGTCACTTTAATACGTCAATTAGCGAACGGATGTTAGCTTTGTTATCTTGACATTTGTCAGTTCTTACGGTCACGTCTCAAGTCACTCAGTATTCGTGCTGTTTTGCGAAAACGTACCCAAAAACTTTATATAATATACTATTAGGTATTTTTCTGAACTCAAAAAAAAACAAAAATATCTGATTTTGCATATTTATTATTTATTTTTGACATATTTATTTATTGACATGTTGCATACAGAGTAATAATAAAGTATCCCCGATGTAACAAAAAAAAAGCGTAATTTAGATTTACAATTAATTAAAAAAGAAAGCAAACTCAAACGATCGTTACTCAACAACAAACAAAAGAGAACTATAGCTCAATACGTACAAAGCTATACCCAATTTAGATTTGCTTAGTTTTGGTGAGTTTTGCTTAGTTAGGGTTGGTAAATATATTTTTCTACTCCCGTTTCTAAAATACCTAATTACCCACCGATCTAGCTTGCGGGAAGCGTCACTTTACCACGTCACTTTCGTTTCCCATGAATCCGAGCCACTTCGGACATTTCCGGGATTTTTCCGCACGAATTTGGGAGCAATCGGATGTTTTCGGAGATATTTCCCACGCTTTGAATTTTGACGTTTGTCAATTCTGACGGTCATGTCAGTGAATGTATTCGTGTTGTTTTGCGAAAATGCACCCAAAAACTAACGGTCGTAGAAAAAGTATAGTATGCAACACGTTCGGTAAACTTTTTAACTCACTCGTTTATTAAAAACTCGCTCCGCTCGTGTCAAATAAACTCGTGAGTTAAATGACGTTTACCGCACTTGTTGCATAGTATACTATTTTCTACTCCCGTCTGTAAAATACCTAATTACCCACCGATCTAGCGTGCGGGAAGCGCCGTTTT